ACCCCATTCTTGAGCACCCAAGACTGAAGGAAAGAGGAGTGTGAAGGAAAATGTTTTTGTATTTTGGCATTGTGTCTCCGGTCCAGTACACATGAATGGTCACAAGTTGTAGCAGAAAAGGACACAGTACTGAAGAGAAGAATATGGATTACTTAGTCCAGCCCCTAACAATCAACCTAAATTGGTATAATGCACACATATTTGATTATATCCAAGGCAGAGGAATCTTTTCTTAATTTAAATCCAAATGTGCTATGTAGTCACTGAACAGTACATCTTCAGGCAAAAGGACCAAAGTCAGGTTCAAAGGGCACGGTGTAATTATGAACCATTGTACAATCATATGKCACAAGTTTCAGAGACAGTCGAGGCAGGTCAGCTTGATGGGCAGCACAGGCAGATTTGACCTTGCTGAGCATTGCCAGGGCCTGACTGTCACTTCAGTGCCCACAGCTCGCTGAGATGGTCCTACAGAGCCCAGCATTGTGCAGTACAGGGATGCCTTTGTTACATGTGGTGATCCTTTGCAGAGGGAAGAATTTGGTGCATAATTCTTTACTGGCTGTCAACCCCAAATAACAGGTTTTTTTCTTCAGGAAGTGTGAATCTCTTCAGAAATCTTCTAACTATGGATTTTCTTTTTAATCTCTATCTTCCTTGTGCTCTTAGATCCTCTAAGCAGAGTGTATTTGAAACCAAAAAATCCATCTGACTCCTTGAGTACCTACATAAATGCTAACTACATTAGGGTAAGCAAATGCACACTCTTCATGTATTTTTGAGAAAATATTTTATTTGCTATGTTAATAGCTGACTTTTATTTTATTGTTTYCCACCTTCATTGATAATTCTAAATCTTTTTGTCTACATGTGTGTGGTAGAAATAGTTTTCATGAGCCATTTGTAACAAAGATCACATAGCCATGAATGTACAAAAATGGTTGTGWTTAAAAAATTGTCAAATAGTTTGTAAAAAACATTATGAAACACATGCATTACTGCATTACTGTTTGTATACTTTGGTACTTACTGTTTCATATTGACCTACTGCTTTATAGTAAAGAAAAGGGGGCTACCTTTTAACAGTAACAGATACCAGTATTTTCAATATACCAATTGATAGTGCTGAAATCAACAGTTGAGTAATTGAAGAAATACTGTAACCAATTTGTGAAAAGGAACATAGATGGATATGTTAAATATACACATGTCCACAACACAGTCATTCACATTTTACTGCCTGTACTGGTCACATGACACAATGACTAAACCAGCATGARCCCTTTTGGAAAGCATTCTTTCTAAGTCTCAGGTGTATTATAATCCTTGATCACAGACACACGGACCCACACTCAGAGCTTTCTTGAACTCCTGACAGAGTATTTGCTAAATGGACTACAAAGAAACTGTTTCTATGATATTTTAGGAATGCAGTGCTCTACCTGCAAAATKAAATGTCTGTAATTATTATCCAGACCTTCAGCTGGAACAAAGGTAATAGTGCAATGGAAATTAGTCTCCAAAGCTCTACAGCGATGTTGCTTCTTTAATTAACAGTGCATTAATATGTAACACAGCAAGTGCCATGCCCTTACCCTGCCTCACTTTGCATCCTGCACTTTCAGCATTTCTTATGGAGACATCATCATGTAACTAAGCAGAGCAGTTCTATTTGGAGAGCAACTCTTCCATGAGCCAGGCCATATTTTGGCCTGAAAAGTCCTCTGAGGTTTCCCTTTTCCCTATGCCACCACCCTTGAGGCCCACATATGGTGATTCCTCCTGCTACTAACACCAGTAGAACTGTCAGTAATTATAGAAAAAATGCAACCCAGCAATGAAAGAAATTTCAGCTCCATGTATATAAAATCATTGGGCTTGCTGGGATTCTGACAGACCTGTCTGGGACAAACTATGTTCAGACGATTGGTGAGTGGAAGGAGGACAGTTTGTGCCAGCTGAGGATTATCCCATTGGTTCATGTAATGAGTAACTGCTGTCAGGAAGAAAGGCACCCAAAAGGAAGACCCAAGGCTAGAGGCTCCCACACCTCCTCCAGCTGTTCTCCATTCACTTATTCCCTTCAGACACTGCCAGGCTCTCTCCTGCATTACTGTTGGGTGGCCTGTCACTGCACAAACTTCTCCTTTTGATCCAAAAGAATAAGACTACAGTATCTTCTTTTTCATATTGCGTCTTGTCTTTCCTCTGCTTCCCCACTGTTTGCCTGACCTTTCTTTGACCTCCTACACACTCATATAAGTCTCGAGATTCCCTTTACTCCCTATCTATATTGCCCCTCCTATAAAGTCTCATAAAGGCACTTCTCCTTTAGAAAACATGTATAAAAGGGTTTTTGACTCCACAAGCAATCACAAATTTTAAATTATTTTCCTGTCTTGAATCTTTGTAGAAACCAGTTTTATAGTTCTTATTTTCTCTTCTGTGGCTTGTTGACTATAAACTATCTTGTAAACAGTGCTGCAATTTAAATTATAGATTAAAGTACCACTGGATGAGGAAGGTCCCAATAACTTGAAGAATGGAAAGTTAGCTGAAAGACAAGTAAGCAGGGAAATTTGAGAGGGATTGTTGTATTTTCAGGACCATTTAAGTTCATCAAATCAGTAGTTTCCAAAGAAAAAACTGTTTTGCTCAAAAATTTCTGACCTGCTCTACTGCTAGTCATGACTTCTTTCAGTTCAATTTTTCTTTTTGATTTCAGAGTAATTTTTATTCTGCTCTTTTAAAACATTCACCTGCAATATTGACTGATCACATGAATTTAAATTAAATGCTTTTGTGTCTGTTTCTAAACCAGGGATATGGAGGTAAAGAGAAGGCTTTCATTGCAACTCAGGGACCCATGATTAATACCGTGAATGATTTCTGGCAGATGGTTTGGCAAGAAGACAGCCCTGTCATTGTTATGATCACAAAGCTGAAAGAAAAAAATGAGGTATGACAAATAGTTGGTATAGGCAAACTGAGAAATTATTCCTGTGGCTGCATATTGTAGAAGGGACCTTAGCAGATATAGAAGGAAGCCAGTCRGTAACTGGTTCTTAACTAATCTGTTAACAGAATATGTGAAAAATAATGAGGGTGTAGCAATATATACCAAGTGCAATTGCATAGCCATCATAAGCAATAGTGGATTAAACAAAAAAACAAAAGACAAGAAGGAACTCTATTTTCTAGATCTGTGCTGTTTGGTTCATAATTTTTTTAAGAAACCCTTCACTTATCTGTTGATCACCTCTGTACTTCTTTTAACTTTCTGGTGCATAAAGACTAGATGGTTAATGTTGTGATTAGTGATTTCCTGACGTGGTTGAAGTTTGTTTTGCATTTGCTATATATTCAGGGGTTTAATCTGTTCTCAATGTTACAAATCTTTTGAACCATCCCAGAAGTACAGTTTGAGCTCCCACATGTCAGCACCACAGAAGAACGTGGACAGAATGGAAATAGTACCCTTTACCTTAGTATCAATTAGACTTGACAATTGCATTTTAATGGCTAATGGCCAAGTAACTGCCTGTTATGCATTCCATGACTTTTGCAGTAATTCCAATCTACATCTTCAATGGCTTATTTAGGAATCATGTAATTTTTTGTCAGGTTTTCCTTGGTAATGCCAGAGTCCATATTTCTGACTACCAAACATTAGGAACAAAATGCCCTCTCCCATGCAGAAGGCCAAAACAAAACCTCTTCTAGAAGACTGAATGTTAAAGAACTGGTTTACAGAGCTTTACASGACAAGAGAGTGTCAGAAATAAAGGAGATGGACTTTTTTCTTGAGTCCAAACTTAGTAACAATTCTCAGCTCCAGGTAGGTGCCTCAATCAAGTCTCAGCACATTGCCGCATAAGCACCAGCGCTGTATTTCCCCTGCTACACTCACACCCGTGCTCTTCTAGCTCAGATGCATGATGATAGAGCAATAGAGTTTATTCAGGCAAAGTTTCCAGTCTTTGGACTGGAGTGATCAAGGGACCAAGAGTCTGAGTGCATTCCCAGGGCTCAAACTCACTGCTCCATTTAAATGTGCACTCAGTAGACTCTTCTTTCTTCTGCCTTTGGCAGCCATTTCATTCTTTCTCAGTGTGAGTTTGGACTTCGAACATGAAATGTAAGACCAGGGAATTATAAGAAACTGTATGTGAAARGTAGGTTGGTCCTGTAACATGTCCAAAGACATATTTCCAAGCCAAGTGCCATTTTGYACTAGACTGTTCAAAGGGTTATTCAGAAGCCCACATTTAGGATTAATCGTGAAAGCATAGCATTGGACCAGGCTAATCAACCAAAAGAGTGAATATTTCACTGAGGAAATGCTGACTGTTTAAACACTCACATCTGACACTGTGTAAGAAGAATGACTTGAAAGAAGTGCCCAGTGGTTTTCATTGTGTCAGGAAGCTCTGTGTTTACCTGAGTTATGCAGGCTCTAGGCACTGGTGTTTATCGCATTGTTGTGCCTGGCGATGGTAATTTCCTCCAAATAGAAAGGGTGAGGAATTTCAAGTCGTTCCCAGGCTATATAGAGAGGCTGYGTTTGTGCAAGCTCTCCTGTCTAGAAGCCTTAGGAGCTCTCCCACTGTTAGCAGGTTCCTCCTGAAACTGTGCTTGCAACTGAAAAGAAAGCAAACTCTTACTGGCCATGCTCAGCATATTTTCTTCCCTGTTAAAATATTTGCTCTCTGTAGAGAAGGCAAAAGCAGATCATATTTAGCATAATAGCACTTGGTATTTTTCCCTCTCTGGGGTCTGCGTTATTTCCATCATTTTCAGGGAAGTACATCTGCAGTATACACACAAACACCTTCATGTCTAAAAGCATATTTATCCACTCATCCACACTTACCCCTGAACAAATAAACCTCCATTCCTGACTCTTGTGTGTAGGCCATATTCCTCAGTTGGTATAATACCAGTCAGCCTCTGTTTGAGCTACAATGTACCGTAATGTATGAAGTCATGTATAATGAAGGAGCTTGCAAATGAGAGGCACAGCAACCTTAATCTCAACAATAAATTAATTTATTTTGCATAAGAAAAATTATTTGGGACATCAGTGTCCTAGTTCAAGATGTTGATGGAACAAATTTGCATTAGCAATGGGAATTGTGTGAAATTATGATGAATAAAGGTTTCTATAGAGTTACTTTTATATTTCAGATTAAAAAAATGGTAAGACTTGCTGTGGTGTGAGTTTCTGCAAGGTGAAGATATATGTTTAGAGTGCTGATATGAATGTTGAGTGCTGAGCAAAATATTTATTTCAGCTGCACAAAGAAAACATGCAGGATTTGTAAAACCTGTCCTCAAAACAACACAATGTCTAAAGAAACTGAAAATCTACCTGTTCTAAGAGAGTCCACAGTAAAAGAGTTTCTGCCTGAACAACTTGTGAGAAACTTGGAAATGTAGACCATTATTTTAGGGTTAATATGAGGAAAAACACATCTCTTCTAGTGATCTAGGTACCTTCTGTGGTCACTGAAGAGCAGTAGTCACCTCCAGAGGTGATCCATCCCACTTTGAGAGAATGAGATAAATCACTAACTGAAGGTGACCATATCTAATTCTGTACTAGGATTTTAGGACATAATCTTCCAAAGCTTTCCATACAAGGTGTATGTAATCTTCATATATTACTGAGTTTAGTAAGAACAACTGTGGAGCAGTAGAATTTAGATAAAAATGTGGGGTGTAAGAATGTTGTAGACATATATAATTTCATAGAGAAGTTTATAGACTTCTGTTGTATCAGCTAATTTTTTGTCATTGTGCTATGTTCTACATCAATAATATGCATTTATTCTACCTTCAAAACTTACTAGCAACATTACCTGTTAAATAGAAAACATATTTTGGCAAGCATGAGTAAAGAATCATGTGCAGTATTCTGAAAGAAGGGAAAACTAATACTGCCAGATGCATCAGATTACTCAGATAATGCAAATCTTGTCAGTAATTAAGATAATCTTGTTAACTCAGTGTTTAAAGCTCGTCATATTTTATGTAATATTTTTTTCCCTCAGTTGTCCTAAGTGTCAGGCACCCTTACATATGCACAGCCAAGTAGATTTTGGAATTTGAAAATCCTGTCTTTTACAGACTTCACATAAGCCTCTTTAATGATTATTTATTAGCTGAGTATTGGTACCATAGATAGGTTTCGGAAGAACTTAAGATTTGTTGCTAACTTTGAGGATTTCGGTCTGTGAAGGCAAATCCTGCAAAGCTTCCTAAAGTCTACCTCTCATGTTTGTGTTAGTAGGGACGGTAAATAGAGGGCAGGAGTAAAATGGGATTCTGGAATTGAAGCTTTGTTGTTATTCTTTACTTTTGTGTGTTGGCCTGGTTATTGGGACCTTTAATATGTTGATTTGTAGACATAGCTATATGAAGAAATACACCAGAAGCAGAGTTGAAGTAAAACAATTGCATGAATATTTGAGAATTGTTAAACTATTTTTGTTCTGGTTCCAAATCCAGGGAATGTAAAGCTGGTAAATACCATGTCACCTGGGAGAGCCTTCCTCCATTTGGCAGAACGGGACCGGGCTGCAATAGGAGCAGTTCTGGCACGTTAAAAACATTGACTGTGGTAAATGAAAGGTGCCAGCCCCAGACCAAGGCAGGGCCAGATCCCACCCAGTTATGGAGATCCACCTCAGGAGCKGTCCCATGAAGCTTGGCACCCAGTGGGCATGGGACATGGCATGCCAGGAGACAGGAGAGGGAATGGAGGAGCCTAAGCCTGCAGCCCTGTCACAGGGGGAAGGACAAAGGCTGAAATCAATTTAAAGTCATGTGAGAGACTGTTTCTTGTATAAACTTCCTGTTTGTCAGGGAATGTTTTGTTTCAGGGGCGGAGTTGTTTGGTTGGTTCTGATAAATACTGTGTGCAATGTGTCTTTACTGCTTGCACACATGAGGCTGGACACCAGACGCCTCATCCACTGTATCTGACTTTTGAACAGGTTTAAAATTCACCTACGAGAGACAAGTAGATTCTCTTTTATTTACAAGTAACAGCTTGAGGCAGTTTATTTTTTCTTTATTGTGGTCCTGAGATTATGTGTATTATTTTCGTATGTCTGATAACTTTATCCCTCCTACCCCCATCTTTTTCCCTTTTTTCAGTTAACTTTCAAAAACATGTTAATTTTCCACTCCTTAGAAGTGCTTGAATCAGCTTATCCTACCTGTATTTTCAAGGCTATTTTTAAAGCAGTAGCAAATAGTATTTTTAAAAGATGCACAGAGACAGAGTTAAAAATAATCCATTGTATCTCGCTAAATGTAGACGGCCTTTTAAATGAAAGTTATTTTAATGAACAGCCACATTTCATTGTCCACCCAGCACAAGTTGCCAATTCCAGTTCTGGGAAAGAGTCAAGAAAAACACTCTTCTGGAGTGCCTGAAGGCTTTGTAGTGAGTGTCACATGCTCACATTTATCAAGAAGTCTCAGGAGTTTACTCAACTATTGTTGATTGTCAGAGCACAATTGTGTATTTAGACTTTTCTTTTTCCCATATTAGCACTGAAAACTACACTCCCAGGGAGGGGCATGAACTGCAGATCTGGCAGATGATAGTAACTACATGTGTCACATGGGTAGACTGTGGAACTTGTGAACACTCTTTTTTTGTACAAATTTCTGAGTATTTTATTGCCATTCTTGATCTCTTCGGGGAGACAGCAAATTTAGGATGTTCGAGTAATTCTGCAAAAGACAGGATTTGAATGAAACCAGTCAGAATGGCCAGCATTATTTCAGAAAATATGGCTTTTACACACCTTACACTATTAAGGTAATGAGCATCTATATTTAGAAAAGTGTTTATACAGCTGAGGTAATTCAGTTCAATCTGCTATTGTGTTATCAGTTAGAGTAACAGCTTAAATATCACACCTGGTGGTAAAGCCTTGCATTTCACTGATTGTTTTTCTGGATCATTTTTGGCAGTATTTACTAGAAGTAATGCTTTATGGCAATTAATTGGATTCAAGGGATTGTTTTATTTTGCTGCATAATATAGGCTGCTGTCTGTCTGCATGTATATGAGTTGCTTCAGCAAGGTTTTGTGAGGAAATACAGGCAAGGTCTTTCTGAGGTTCCTATTTACTGTAGAACTGTTGGGGTTTGGGGCTTTGCTTTTGTTTATTTGGTTGGTTGGTTGGGTTTTTCTACCTGTGTATTGGATATTAAAACAGAAGGTTTCCTTTAAATATTGGGGTGTCATTTTATTTAATGAATGAGTTGGACCAGCCAGCCTTATTTCATAAAATGTGGCTTTCAAATATACATTCTTAAGGGAATAAGCATCCATTTTTAGAGAAGTATTTATACAAAAGGGATGTTTGCTTTCATATAGTTTATAGAGATACTCTAATTKAAATGAATATTGAAGATTTACAGATAAGCAAACTATTGCAGGGGAAAAAATAAAATTGTTTGTCTTGTAAATACTATTTCTTCATCTCCTTTCTAGTAAATGCTTGTCAGAGAAATCACTGAAATAGTGTAATGCTACTGATTCACTGAGAATTCTGCATACAATTTTGTGTAGCTCTAGCAAGACTGATGGTTTTTTTGTTTTTTTTAAACATTCATTTCCAGAAAGTTATATAGTAAACAACTCAGATTCTTCAAAATACTTTAACGTTCACATTAAGTMCAATTGAATTCAGTAAGATTTAGAGGCACATTTACCTGCTTTCTTGTATCAGGGCTCAGGAGAGTAAAGAGGATAAAAAGTCTTGTGAGCAGAGGACAAATTCTGAATCTCTTGCTCAGAAGGAAATCTCATTTGGAAAGACAAAACTTTAACTGTATAACTTCAGAATTTTCTAGGGAAAAAAACCTTTAATTTGAATGTGGAAAATAATTGCTATAACTGAACTTCACTGAGCTTTTAAGAATAAAAACAGCTGTGCAAGGTATTCAGTGAAAGAGATCTATATTGTAAAACTCAGATCCTGAAAACCAGCCCTAAGTCATTCAGTAAGAACTCTGCAAATTCTTATTTAGAGGTACTTCTGACATGAATAACACCTCAGTTGAATTAATCTGAACTTGGCAGAAAATTACATTCTGTGTAAAAATTAGATATGAATATGGCTCCAGGATCCGGTTTTTGATGACACTGATGCTTGCTTTCCAGAAATGTGTGCTCTATTGGCCAGAAAAAAGAGGAATCTATGGGAAGGTTGAAGTCCTTGTTAACAGTGTGCAAGAATGCAAGAACTACACTGTTCGTCAACTTACAATAAAGGTAATAATCTGCATCTGAGAAGCTTTGTTCGTAATGCTCTATTTTCTTTATTGTTAAATGAAGTGAAGTGTTTGATTGTTTAGAGGGCATACATTTTTTGCAGGAGGAGCTATGAAGCTGCAAGTTAGGGTTGAGACCAAATACTGGAATAATTACTCTATTTCCACTTTGTATCACTCTGGCAATAGCAAAAGCATCCAAAAAGTGTCTGAGTTTTACTCTCTTGAATTGCATTTGTTTGGGGGCTGGGGGCCCTTTTAGTATTGCCAAAGCAAAGTAAAGGGATTTTAGTTAATGACAGAACTAACCTAGCATCATTCTAAAAAAGTTATGTGGCTTAGATTGTGTGCTGAGTACAACTATAACCTACATGAGCAGCTAAAAATAGAAGTATGTAAGGAAATCTTCATGTTTTCAGGGTTCTCACTAAACATTAATTGTGCAAAATAAGACAGATGGTCCTCTTCTGAGTTACTCCTCATATTACACTCCCATGCTATCAGACTGACCTGCTACTCCTGACAAAGCATTACAATAAATAACATATTGGGAAAATTTGTTTAGTGTTTCAACCCCAGCATTGAGAAGTGAGCAGAAGTCACACTATCCAGCACAGATTACCCTAGCCCATATTTAGCCCCTTTTCTTGCTGAAGTAAGTGGTAGCAGACTGTGGAGAGAATAACTGGACAAACTGAGATAGCTGATTAATCTAGAAAGGCAGTTATTGTGCATCTTTCACTTCAATACTCCTGTAATTGTACTATCAGACCCTCATGATGATGACCTTTAAAGGCAGAAATACATTATAATTTAGAAATTGAGAAGCCCGCATCAAGCTATTCTCTCTAGATATTATTACTGATATATCACAGACCTCTGACACTTCCCAGTTGACAATACAGTCATGAAGTCAGTAGTTAGATGGACAAAATAGAACTTATACAGCTGGAAAAGCAGCCAAGTTTTCAGGTGCACAAACTCTTCTTACAACTGGGTGTCTGGAAGCACATCTGTTCCATCCACAGTTATATCCTTCAAGTTTAATATAAAACAATGGTTTAATCTCTCCTAGCATTTTTATTGTATTTTTACCATAACATTGTGAGAAATAAAAACAATGCAAGTGTTTGTATAAAATCTTCATATTATTTTTAGCAAGGGAGTCAGTCCCGCAGCGTGAAGCACTACTGGTACACATCCTGGCCAGACCACAAAACCCCTGACAGCGCTCAGCCTCTCCTGCAGCTCATGCTGGATGTGGAACAGGACAGGGTGGAATCACCGGGCAGAGGGCCTGTCGTTGTGCACTGCAGGTAATTACCCAGTTCTCCTCTTCCATGACTGCTCAAAGCAAGGCTAAGCAAATTGCATCAAATAGCCCTCCTAAACAAAGAATGTGTTTGGGGAAGAGCAAAAAATTCCCCAGTTCCACTTCATGCTAATTGATTTTTTTAGTTCATATTTGAGGATATGAGTTTTGGAGAGAATTCCCTTGTTGCTAGCAAATCACTTCTGAACTGTTCTCTATTTCTGCTATGAAGTCTGCATTTGAAACACCAACTGGAACAATCATTTTAGTTTTGTTTCTTATTTGTGATTTGCCTACTTTTTTGTCTTGTTGCTATGAATAAGCAACTTCCCAAATTTTACGCAGCTGTATTTATCAGGAATTGTCATTTTTCTGAACAATGCACAAATCTGTGGATGGCTATTGAGAGTTCCCTTTTTCTAGTAAGGATTTTCAGTAATGAGGGTCTTCAGAAGAATGGGATGCCTTTCTAAGATGAGTGATATGACAGTAAGGTCTGTAAGCATGGGCAAGAATTTATTAATGTTTAAAGAGAGAGAGGTCTCAATTGTGATTAAGATATCATCCCAGTTGTGATTAAAATTCATAGTTCTTCCATCACAATTCAGCTATCTATACATTCACTACACTATGGTCTACAAATCTCACACTCCATTACACCGTCAGACAGTTTTTTTGCTTTTTGTCTGAGTGAGAGGGAAGATCTGGGACCCCATCTTAATGTTCTAACTATTTTCCACCAATTTTTCTGCCATTCAGCATGACAGCTGTGAGCTGCACTGACTTCCACATTATTTAAGCAAGAAACAGAGTGGGGCAGTAATTATATGTTGAGAACTCAGGGATGAAAATTATGCCAAAATGGGTGTTTCCCAGCAGGCATCAGGAAAACCTGGAGACCTATAGCACCAAGTTCTTCTCCATTCTGCAGAATCACAGGAGAGAACATTAAATATATCAGCATGGGTTTAGGTCCTTTTGCCTTCATGGTTAGAACCCAYGTATACTTCGAGGGCTTTAAACATAAAGCCCTGGTGAGTTTTATCTTTAGGCTGGCTTTTTCCCCWTCTCAGTGCATATCTCCATCATTTGCTTGGACTGGGCCTGAGAATACTCAGATTTTGTASTGCTAATGAAGACTGGTTTTGTTACCATACACTTGTGTGCAAACTGAAAAAATGTAAGCCTCACAGTTACCCACAACTGGACTGCTGGAACAGTGCACACTTTAATTTCCTCTAAGAAAGTGAGCTGAGACGTCAGACTTGCTGGTCATGTACCCAGGACCTGTGGGTTCTAGCAATTCCATGTTTCATACTTTTGGTGTTTTTGTATCTATTTAGTATCTATTTACATTGTATCTATCTGTATTTGTATCTATTTACATTTTCCACTTAACTCCTTGATCTGTGAACTCCATTCCCCTAGTAAYTTTTGCCTTTTTTTCAGTGCTGGTATAGGAAGAACTGGATGTTTTATTGCCACAGCCATTGGTTGTCAGCAGTTAAAGGAAGAGGGAGTTGTAGATGCATTGAGCATTGTCTGCCAGCTACGAGTGGATCGGTGAGTTCCAGAAGAACCATAAATCAGTCAATGATTCTGAAAATCAGCCAATGATTCTGGAATCATTACCAAAAYGATTTAGTAATGATCAGTAATGAATCAGTAATAATTCTGAAAACCTTTTCACAGTTGAATGTTACTTTACATGAAAGGGCTGCCATTTCTTTTGCTGACTTTTATGACCACATTAACTGAATATTGAAGGTAACATTTGTATCTAGATCCAGAATAAGGAATGATATTGTTTTCTGGGTGAAACTTCCATTGAATGAAATTCCCCTGAAATGACAACCCTGAGGTTGCTGGGCRCTTGTCACTTCTCTTTTCTGCTCCTAGAACTTTCTGCTGCCTGCATCATCCCACTAGGACAAAAGAGATGTGAGGCACTCTGGAGACAAGGGGTTGTCTTTGAGCCTGGATTGAGAGAGACAACCAGGCTCACTTGGCGTGTAGTTTCTTTGAGCATTGGAGAAAGACAAATCTGGTGCTATTGCTATTCCCTCAGCTGTGCTGGGGGKTCCTTTTGAATTGAGTTGGCAAATTTACCCAGGCTAAGAAAATACCAAGGCATTTGTTTCAGAGTTTTCTGAAGTCACATCAATTCCCTAATTGAATTCACAGCTTGGGAACAGTGTAACAGTGTTCCCAACAGTGTAAGCCAGCATTGTTACAGAGTGCTTTGTTTTGTGAAACCATGGCTGAAGAGGAATTTGTGTTTTAAAGGAGGATGTGGGTATTGTGCACAATGGAAACTGTTGGTTTGGTTGTACTTTGCTTTCTTATTCTGCCTGGACAAACGGGATTTTGTATAAAATAAACAAACAGGATTGCACCAAGAATAGAAAAATCTCTTCTGCTGTAGGTACCAGACTATATAATCTCCTTGCAAGTATCTTAACTGCTCCTGTCATGCACGTCTTCTTTAAATGAAACAAATCCACAAGGGTCCAAATGCTGAAAAAGAGTTTATGTCAAAAGGTTGAAACAGTATTTTTTGTGTTGTGTTATGAAAGGTACTGGAGCCATGAATTGCAGAAGGACCAGAATCCATATAGTTGACCCTGTTTATGGATCATCTCTTCTGCCCTCCCCTCCCACATGGCTTCATCATGCTAGACATTGTAATATGATCTTTGCAGGGCAGCATGAGCCACTTGGAGTGTAAAATTCTCCAAGGGGAGTTATTGACCTAAAAATCTCAGCAACAAAATAAGATGGAATAGCTGAGGGAAAAATGCTTACTCTGTTTTAAACTATCAGCTGGAAATTTCTACCCCTCTTTTCTGATTATCTATTCTTCATGAAAAAAAATTTAGGTATTCTCCCCCATTTTATTATTTCCACTATAAGAGAACCTTTTTCTTATTGCTTTTACAATCCRTTATAGAGAAGTGGAAGCAAAGTCTGGTCTCAGCTCTGTCTTTTAATGCTGCTATTTCAGACATAAAAAAAAAAAMCAACCCAAATTTTCAGCATTATAAATGAGTACAGTTTTATTGAGTGGATCTGAATAATGAACTTTCTTTTACATATTAGTATCCTAGTTAAACTTGGAAGAGAATGGAAATCTGCCCCAAATATAACATTCATAACTGCAATTTCCATGATACAAAACTTGTTCTAAGAATTGTTAAATACTGTGATTTGTACATTTCTGTATTTTTTCAACTTTCAGATTATATAAATAGACTCCAGAGATGTTGCTTAAGGTGCTTCATATTCTCAGGCATTGCCTGAGACAAAAAGTATGTCTCTGTTTTAGTTTTTAAAGACATCTTTCTGGATAAAACTCAGTAATCAAAACCTGTTTCTTCTTCTCTTTTTTTTTTTTTTTTCCTTCCCAATTGATCCTGTTGCAGAATGAATCTCACTAACCTGGCAATTTATAAGCCAAGATTACTAAGGCAAAGCTTAACAGCCCCTAAGATGACAGTAGCCACTGCCAGCCCGTGGGTCTGATATAGACCAGATCATGGGTCCATATAGTGGCCAAGTGTCACTGTTACTTGGACAAAGCTCAATGAGACTGGCCTCCCCTGATGTCCCAGTCCTGACATGGTGGTCAGTGGCAGGAGGTGTGCAGGGTCAGCACATGTGTCATGAAGATGGCAAAATGAACTTGAAGCCCACTAGATTTGGCTGCAGGAGCTGGCTGTGGCCATGGCAGTGTTTCACTGCAGGTACCAGCATGGCCAGTGTTAGCAGTGGGGTCCAGYTGTGAGCAGGACCAGTGCTGAGGCTGTCTTCCTTATTATCCTGCCCAGCAAATTTTTCTTTGTGCATCACATTGCCCTCACAAAAAAAAAAAAGAGAGTTCAGCTGAAAAGGATGGTTTTATCTGACCACCTCGGATCCAGAAACCTAAGAGGTACACTGAGTATTTTATCCCTGGTATCCTGTCTCCACTAGGTTCCTGGCCACTCGTGCTCAGGGGTGCATCTTCCAAACAAAGGTTACTGATGGAATGAACATACTCAGAGATGTCTGCTTTCCTGTGAACTTTTTATCACATAGGTCCATGGCCACATTTCTACCAGAGTGAATTGAGCAATAGGAAAAAAAAAAGAGCTAACTTAAAGGACTCACAAGTGGTGTTGTAGTGTCTTACCAAAACATTCCTGTTGCTCAGCATTTTCAATGAAAACCAAACAGGCATCCAGACAAATTGCAGAAGATGGGAAAAAGATATGCTGGAAAATAGTTTAATTTATGAGCCATGTAGTTCTCCCTGGAAAGAGAGTTTTAAATAGGGTTCCAACAGAGAATAAGATGGKACAGAGCTGTTCCAAGGTAGAATATGTCCAGGTACCACTTCCCTCTTAGCTGTTCAGCGTAAGTTAAGGGTTGAACGGATCTGACAGTAAAAATCAGTGCAGGGCTAATATGAGAAAATGGACCATCCACTCAAAATATTGACCCAGCTATGGGTGGAAATACAGCCATGGTCTGTGTGAATTTTTAAAAAGACAGACCCACAGGTATGCTCAGCTTACTTTTTTTCCCAGTTCATTTTTTATGTTTTGCAAGAGAAACAGGAAATGTTTGATGTGAGGCATCTTCAAGACTTACTGTGACATCGAGAAACTTTACACATTCTTAACCTTAAAGGCACATTCTTGGAATGACATCCGATAACTTTGCTCTTGGCTGCACAGACAGGATGAAAAGAGTTTCCAGTGTGCGTCAATTCATTGTTTAAGTGTTTTGACTAATGGCCTCAGGTTAAAAAAAAATAATCCCAAACCCTGCATTGCATTCGTTCTGGAGCAGACTGCATCCAGCTGCACTAGCAGCAAGCCAGAGGGCAGGATAAAGGACCCTTTATGCACCCATTGCTACCCAAGCAAAGATGATCACAGTCCCTGAGCTCTCAGGRTGCCAGAGTCTGTTTCTTCCAAGCACCACCAGAGTCCCAAAGAAGCAGAGAGCCCAAYAGCTCACAGAGGAGCTGGCAGTCCTTCAAATGGACAAAGGCTGCACACCCTGAGTTGCTCTAGCTGTGGGTATATCCGTTCTGGCCACTAGGGACATGGGAGAGGAAACCTCCCTCCTTGAGCAAATTTCCTTCTGCAATGCGCTTCCACACAGACGTTTGCACAAAACAATGTCTTGGGATCACAGATAATTCCCTGCTATTAAACCCGAACCTTGCATAAGAACAAAGGTAAGAAGGACTTGGGATACTGGTAGATGAAAAACTGGACATGAGCCAGGAGGTTGGATGGGGTTCCAAGCAACCTCGTCTTAGGGGAGGGTGTCCCTGCCCATGGCAGGGGGTTTGGAATTATGTGGTCTTAGGGTCCCTACCAACCCAAACCGTTCTGTGTGCTGTGGGTCAATGAATCCCATATGTAATGGCACTTACAAGGCTAAGTTGTCTGAATTAGACTCAGGTGCCCTTCAGCTGACAGAGATATGCATTGTTTGCCCATACAAGGCTCAGTAGCATCGTAATGTCTCAGTTGTGCTTACTAACACAGGGCAGGTGCAGTGGTGCTGGGCTCAGCCCCTGCCGGTCTTGCACATGCTTTCTTGGGGATCTTGTACATTGCTTCAGCACTGTAGGAAGGAGCAACGATCACCACCACAAACAGCCTAGTGCAGCCAAATGTGTTTTAACYTGCCCTTCCTGCCAATTCCTTCTCCCTGGGTATGTTCCCTTCCTCCACCCCTTCCACACAGTGGATCTAACTTGGGAAGTGCACTCCCTTAGGGAACATATTGGGGAAACATTGGTGAGGAAGACAGGGAGGGAAGCTGGTTGGGATGGGGCTGCGTGGGCAGAGCAGGACGCAGCAGTGAGAAAGAAGGAAGGAGACTGGGCAGCACAGAGGACCAGASCAAAGCCCTCCCATCACCTTTAGTCTCTCACTGGATCTCCAGGCAGGGGACAAGCAGAGGAAAGCAGCTGAAGGCAAAAGGCAGCCAAGAATTACGAATTGTGGATGTCTATGTTGGCAAAGCTAAGATTGCTGCATTTTGGGCTGGATGGGACCATTTGAGGGCCTGTGATTTTGTTCCAAGGAATAGYATATCATAATAGTCATGTACCTCACTAAAAGGTGTTCTACATTTGCCTGAGCTCATTGGAAGAACACAGACAGCTTGTTACTTGCTTAAAAAAGTAGATATTATTTTAATTAAGATTTTCCTGCCATAGCCATTTAGCCATTCAGTAGCACTGAGGAAAATAAAAGGACCTTGTGGTTGCAGATAACGTTCTCTAATACTAAAGAACAATCCTTGTTGAGGCAGTTCTACCATTTTTCAAATAGCCTGGTATATTATTACCATTTGTTGCTAGGGATCTTACAAGATTGTCAGACCTTCTGTAAGGTATCTGGCTCCAGCAGTGCTCTGGATCCAAATACCTCACAAATCTGAATGTTTCAATGAAGATCTAACTGAAGCCAAATGTGATACATATCACAATGTCTTCCTTCTCACAAGGCTATTTAGTCTTTGATCATCCCAAAGGTAATTAGCTGGTAATTAGTGTGAGGGTACACTGAGGATGAATCAGGGGCTTGTTTCTAGCAGCAGAATAGATAGCTTTGAATACCCTGGCAGATGAGATCATAAAAGTGGATGTAAGTAAACTGGAGGCCTTATTACATGAGAAAGGAGACCTCAAATAGCTCAGTATTGACAGAAAGAGGCTCAGTATTTTCAGAGCTAAATGGTACCACTCCTATCATCACACCTACCTCCTGCAGGACATCCCCCTCCTACCACACTGCTACTGGCACTGGAGATGTGGGATTTGATCCTCATACTTAGACCTGAAAAATGGATAGTTACCAAGTGGATGTTTAAAATGTAGGCATTTAATCCAAGCTGACTAGAACTAATTCTTTTTATGGTCAGGTTAAACTCTTTTGTATTGTTGGCGGTGAAATGATTCACCACTGTAAAATTTCGTAGGTGGTGGCTGCTCGGACAGGATGCATTGTAGGCRTTAGAAAGGGGACAGGAAGAGCTGTTCTCTGCACAGGCCATCTGCGGGTCACAGAAGGTTACATTTTTAGTAAAGGACGAAAATGAAAGGCCAGATTCTGTCTACTTCCTTGCTCCATCGGTGGTAATGCTGCATCCATGTATCTGGCCTTCCTTGCCCAAGTGATTGAGCAAAATTCTCTTTGAATATACTGAATTTGAAATGTAGGTTTTAATACTGTAGATGCCAGATGTTTTCTAGTCTAATTCTTACCCTGATGAAATTTGGAATTCTTCATGTTGGGCATGTGCAGGATGGCGTAAGTTGTGAAGAAAGCAATTCTCCTCAGATAAATCTCCCACTTACTCAAGCAAACTCTTAGTCAAAAACTGAGAAAAGGAACTGCATTATCTGGTGGTCATGGGGCTGGCAGGAGCTGAAGGGTGTTGCAGTCTTAAAAAATAAGATTTCAGTCCAGTGTGTTTCTTTTGCAGGGGTGGAATGGTTCAGACCAGTGAGCAGTATGAATTTGTGCACCATGCACTGAGTCTGTATGAAAGCAGACTTTCTGCAGAAGCTGTCCAGTGAAGCCAAGGAGGGTAAAACCGAATGTCAATCTCTTGAGGTAATTTGTTTCATTACCTACCAGCAGCTTCTTCAAGGAGTTTACTGCAGTGGGAAAGACGGCTTTGAGGCCAACTTCTGAAAGGATTGTGGACGGTTTGGCAAAAGTATAGAGATTGCTGGACCCTTACTATATATGAATGTATTGTGAGCTTCCCAAAAATGATTTATAAAGAAGGTACTGTACTGAAAATACACATAGATTTTGTGTATGTATCTAAAGGTGGGTTTAATTCTGTAATGCTGATATTTGCCATATGGAATGTATGTATGTGCTACTGCTGCAGTCAGATGGACATTGGGACTTCTACAGAAGAAATGTTTAACAAGTGTATAAAAGCTTTGACGTTTGCAAACTGTCTTGTGAATGGACTGTCAACTGTACTGTAAAGTGCTATTACTGATTATGTGGTGAGCTTGTTTCTTGGCCACATAATATTCTTGCTGCTAAAATTGCAAGTGTTCAACTATGGATTAAAAAAAAAGGAGATGATAAAAAATTTAAAGTCTTGTTTTTGAAAATAATCAAAAGCAGTAAATATTTTATATGGAAATATATGTTCTTCATACTATTAACTATTAAATGTATATTAACTGTAGGTCTTACAGAGCAGTTGCAGAGCACAATGTCTGTTATTCAGTGTGTATGTATTTACCCTATGCTGTTGATTGTCTTAGAACATGCTTCTGCTACAGACCTGAATCCAGTGTATTTGTAAATTGTGTAAGTCATTCTACTTTTAAAAGAAACTTTGTAGCATATATTAAATGGTAAGGATTTTAAATATTTGTCTGTCTTTTATTAATATAGAAATTTTTGCATATGTTGTTTATCTGCTCTATCTCTTTCAGTAAGAGATAGATGCCTCTAGTGATATGGATTGTTCCATGACAGGTTGTACAAGAAAGAAAATGCTGCTATGACTGTTTCCTTTATTGTTCAGTAAAAGTTTGTTTTTAAGAGATAGGCAAAGTTGGCATTATGACTTACAGCACTGGGAGGTCTGTTTACAGGGTATAATGAGTTTTTAATGCAGTGATGTTGACTTTGCTTCATACTGCTAATAAATTACACTTAATATAAAATATTAACTGAAGTCTCTGTTCTTGCCTAGAGTGGTTAATGCACACACACTCTTGTACCCCATTAACCAGGCTCAGCCCAGCACAATTTGGTTAGCCTCCACCCTGGCTTCAGACCATTTGGGAACCAATCCAGAGGATACAGGCAATCTCCCACTGACATGGAGCAAGGTGCTCAAGGCAAACCCAGCATCCCTTGATTCCTCTGGAGGTGTTTCTGTAAGACCTGGTACAGATGCCAGAGCTTTGTCTCCTCCTCTTCCCCTTCTTCCCCACCCTCCACTTGGCTTTTAGAACTTGTGGAGTTAGAAATATTGAGAACTTGCTTCATTATGTATAGTTAAAAAAAATACATGTTTGTTCCCTGGCTAATACAGAATATAGCCAGCTCCATCCAGATGACCTACAGATTTGTAATAGTTCACAGGCAACAAATTGCACAAAAGTAGATTCCTTTCTTTTAGTCTAAAGAGATTCAGTATAATCTTTTAGTTTCCCAGGTGTTTGAAAACTTTTCTTTTGCTTTTTTTTTTTCTTGTTTCTTTCATTTTTTTCCAAAATAAACCAACTAGTAAACTGAAGAATCATATAAAAGGACAAAGTGCTGTAAAAACCCCCAAAACAATTGAATAGAAGGAAGTGCTCGTCACTGACTTTTTCCCCCTGTGAAGGCACATTTCCTTCCTAGCCTTCGCTTCACTTATCTGAGGTGGGTTTTTTTAAGAGAAGCATGGGGAGTTGCTAGAGGGAAAATGGATTCTTTATTTCACGTCCTGATTTCTACCTGTCTTGCCTTGACATTCTCAGGTAAGTGTCTCTCCCCACCTCCCCTCTGCCGTGTKGCTCTTTCTGGCACTGAGCAGAGCCCTCCGGCACAGCTGGTGACTTACAGAAACCGAGTCACCTCTTCCCTGGGCTTCGTACCAGGGGAGTGAGGGGCAGGGCCAACATAGCCCGTGCTGTTTAGATTCCTTTCCAAAGGAAAATAAACTGCCTTCTTCTATGCTGGAGATACATCTTCTTTTTTAAGAAGATCCTGATAGACAATCCAGGAGCTGAGTTTTTGGGACAAACGCTTCAAAGGGGAGATCCCTGTCTTTTATTCATACTCTGTGACAAAGTTCAGAGACGGAGATTCCTGTAATGCTTAGTTAGAAAATACCCAGGTCTGTAAAAACAGGGGAATGACAACATCAACTGAGGGAAATAAATACAYGTTTGGTTTAGCACTTTGTAACTAATGGGGCTGGAAATGTTTTAGTAACTGAGATTAAAAACAAAGAACAACCTAAATATGATATGGCAGGGAGGTTGTGTTTGAAATAACAAATTCCCTGTTCTGTGACAAGTATGAATTTTGCAGTGGTAACTTAGTGGGGTTTTGATGAATGCATATTAGTTCTTKTCATGTGAGTAGTTGGTGTTGATCTTTAATTGTGATGCCACAGAGAGCTAATCTTATGTGAGTTGGAATGGTCAGAAAGCTAACAACTAGAGATGTTGGAGAAAATCCAGTAAAACAGATGTACTTCCTATCAATAAAGAACCTTCATTCCTGTTACACAGGCACTGAGAGACACAAAAATTTGTGAATATCCTTCTATATGTTTCCCTCAGAAACATCATGAATTTTACTAAAACAACTTGCAGGCCATAAATAATATTTTTAAAAGTCTGTGTTGTAAAACTGAAATAGAGACTGAGAACTCATGTAGATCTCTGTATGCTTTCAAGCAGGGAAAGTGAGGAACTGGTGTTTGAAGTTAATCGTTCTTGAATTTCTTTTATATCCAGTTTAATTTTTTCTTAATTTTATATATATAATGAAAGTCAAGACGACCTTGCCATAACAGTTTGGGGTTTTGCATTTTCATTATTTACATTACCAGCACATGCATCATGTGGGTCTTGTGTTTGGAGGGTTTTAATGAAATAGGTTCAACTTATGGGAAGTTTCATGAAAAGTTCAACACACAGAAGCTGTGAAGAGAGATTTATTTGCTGATGTATTTTAAATCACTGAGAATTTGCTTTTGTCAGGTAAACAAGTTTATTGTATTTTTATGGAATTTTCCTTTTCCAGAAGGGTTTCTGATTATCCATGTCCAGAAACAGCAGTGTCTTTCCGAAAAAAGAGGAGTCATTATGGAAAAGTGCAATATGACCAACCTGAACCAGAAGTGGCAGTGGATTGCAGATGACAGGCTCCTCCATGTGCAGTCTGCCCGGTGCCTGAGCATCTCCACACGCTCTGCCCTGTCGTCTCGCAGTATCATCGTTGATTGTCCCCAGGCAGTCAGGTGGAATTGCCATGAGGATGGGCTCCTGAAGGTGGCCAACAGTTCTCTTTTTCTCACAAAGCAAGGTCAGAAGGTAATGGCCAAGCGGAGTAAAAAATACCTTCATACATGGATGCAACTAAAAACCAGTGAGACGGGAAAACCTGTTTATGTAAATCTGTGCTCAAAGCAAGGTGAGTTATTTCTTCAGGAAAATATCCTGAGAGTTTTGGTAACAAAAATACCTCTGTTATGCTAACTCAAATGTTAAAAATGATGACATTTTATTCATACAGAAGACTGTTTCTTTTGTTTCTCAAAAAACATTTTGAGAACTATTAAAGAACAGCTGAGATGAGTGCTGTCTTTCTCGCAACTGGTGGAGTTTTTAAGCTACTTTTCATTTTCAGGATGTTTCTCCTTTTGTCTACTCCCAATCTTTGGATCAATGTGCTTATATGTAGGCTCAGCTCACTATTACTGTGTCATTTGCCTTTTCCATTTCTAAACAAAACTATGGGTACTAATTCCTAATACTCTTTAAAAATATGGATGCAAAGAAGATTCMTTCCCATTCATTTTATTATACAAATCCAGATCTGATCTGTCAAGAGCAAGAAGACATCTGAAAATCAAACACATGCACAATTATTTCTCTGATTAACCCAAATGTATGATTAGAACAGTCATGGCTTACACATTCACATGTTTACTCAATGCAATTTTGCCTTTAGATGCCATATAAATAAGAACACACAAAATCCTGAGCATAAGGAACTGAATCAAAAGTCTCAGAAATTCTTGGAATAGCACCTTGAGATGCAAAGGTGTGTGCACATACCTACAGACATCTACCAGTATATCTGTGTAGTTATGGGTTTCCATATGTATGGCAAAATGAAAGGTAGAATGGTTTGAATACTGCTTAATAATGCTTTCTTCCGTGTCCTGTTGTCAATCCTTCCTGGCAATCCTGTTAATATTGTTCTTGTGCACTATTAAGCAGTTTTCATAGTAAATAAGAATAACCTAAGACTTGTTTTTACTGGGGAACAGTTAATGCTTGTCTTTACAGGGTTAAAAATGTTTTATGACCCAATACTTTTGGATATAGCTATGTTTTCAGAATGTTTAAACCAAATCCTCATTTTTTCTAACCTCCTAGTTATTGTAAGGCAGGGGTACCATTTTCCCCAATTTGCACTGGCAGAACTCTACTCATAGGACCAGGGCTACTCACCTGAGTGGAGGTACAAAACGACAGCTTGTAGAATCAGGGAATGGAAAAATGGCCACGATGCTATCCCAGCCCTTCCGTATATGTTAGAGATTAAACAGGCCAAATCATTTGAAGTCTTGTGGGGTGGATATGGCTCGCATAGTCAAAAGATACCATGAACAGTTCAGATGAGGCACAGAGGTAGYATTATTTTGTTTAGATAGCTGGATGGAGTGTGGCCTAACAAAGTTAAAGCAACGTTACATACTTTTCTTAATCATCCTCAGAGGAGAGGCAATTTAAGACCAATAAGAATGAAGACAATTGCCATGGGATATTAAAGCMCTTTCTCATCTATTTACTGTGCTCAGTTCTTAAATTATTTATCTTAATTTTCCTGAAATTCTTTCTATACACAGACCTGTAAATCCTTTTTAAGAGTATTACTTGTCTTGTTTTTGACAGCTCTGGGAAGCTCTGCTGAAAAATCAACAAAACATTATAATCCTCAGTATCTAATTAAGAATTTTAGGAATATAAGGAGCCCATAAACAGTGAAAGTAGTGCAAAGAGATTAATTTTTCAAATAATAAGTACTATGAGAACAAAATCTAATGCCCCTAATTCTAATCTTGGCATCCATATGCACGTCAGAATTTTCAATGCTGAATGTGTAAAATTAATCTTCCAAGAACATCTATCTTCTTTCAGTACAAGCAGAAGTTGATAGCCTAAAATACCGTATTTGGTCTATATTTAGCAAAGATAGCAAAAACTGACCAAAATCTTTGGAGCTGAAATGGCTGTAAGTTTTTCTGCTGCTGACTAGCACCATATAATTTGCCCTCTGTTTTCATAGTACTCATAAAAATAGTTATATTTTGTCATAGGAGTAGTTCACTGAGTTGCATTCTAGACATCTTCTCAGCCCAGATAGAGTACAAGCCCCAAACCCAACAAGTGCAACTACCTTTTATTCTGGACCTTACTCAAATATCAAACATGATTTTTCTGAACCTGAAAGTCTGAGCTGGATTTGGATTTCAAATCATCCATCTGAGATGTGTTTGAATTTCCATGCTTTGCCACAGTCCTGACCTAAATGACTGTTTGTGGAAATCAGGATCCATGTGGGTATGTATCCCATCTCTGCTGACTCAGAAATGGTTCTAAATCTAGCAGCAAACAATCCTTCCCACACAAACTCATGTTTGAATCTGGCCTCCAGCTGAAACAGCAACATGATGAACAGTCATAAGGTATCAATCTCCTTGAGAAAGTGTGACTTCATTTCCCAGAAAATTCATGAGGACATTCTGGGCAGAAAGAAAAAATCTCAGTAGTGCTAAAGGCTTCTTTTCACCAGTTCTCTGTTGGATTCAGAGTTTCACTTAGCCCAAAACAAGGAGAAGGGACAGAATGGAAACAGGCAGGAGGAAAAAATAGGGCAGGTGAAGAGGTAGAAGGCAGGATGACTGAAGAACAG